AGTAGAAGAAGTAGAAGAAGAAGTAGAAGAAGAAGAAGAAGAAGAAGAAGAAGAAGAAGAAGAAGAAGAAGAAGAAGAAGAAGAAGAAGAAGAAGAAGAAGAAGAAGAAAAAGAAGAAGAAGAAGAAGAAGAAGAAGAAAAAGCAGAAGAAGTAGAAGAAGAAGAGGTAGAAGAAGAAGTAGGAGAAGAAGAAGAAGCAGCATTGTAAATTGTTCTGCCACTCGCTCCACATCAGACAGTTCAATCATCAATCCACCGAACCAATATACTAATTCTTGTGAACATTGGTCATTGTTTCTTAAAAGATCAACACACACGCCGTAATTGTAACTGACCCACAGAACATGTTAAGAAAGGTGGAGACAGGTATGTTCCGTGCAGAGTGGCAAGCATCACCTTAGAGGTCCCTGGTTGTTAGTATCCTTTAGATATTCTCTCCAGGGTATGCCGATGTGTTAGGAAATGATCAGGTGGATACACTGGCTGGTTCTGCACCACTTGGTGGTGAACTGATGTATGACAAGCTGGATGTTGTGAGGGCCCTTTGGGAGCGAGTGAACAATGCAGTAGTGCATATAGATAATTACGGTCTGAGGAGAATGGCGCTGCAAGGAGTTACCAGGGAATCTGGCCGACGATCAACACTCAAGGGAAGGGAGGGACAGATATACAATCAGACATTTACTGGTGCCATCGGAATTGAAACTTCATTTGCTGATGAAGATGGGGACAGAACGCTTGTGGAGGTGTATCGAGAGCTAGGATGTTGATTCTTAATTCAACATTCAACAATCAACATTCTTAAAAAAAATCACCTTCTTGCACATCCGACATGACCATAAGCGCTCCGATCTTTTCCTGAGTATGTCTCTAAGTGTTTTAGGCTAACAGCTCCCATTCTGTTCTTACTGATGTAACAACAGGTGATCCCCACATAGTTCCCTTGTCCCGCTGCTCCGGCAGGTATCCCCAAGGTATGCAGTCTAATTAATGAAGAATCGTTTTCCACAAAATTCAAACCCTTACAGCATTTACTCTCTCTTATGGCATTCTTCTTCTTTTTTTTGTCATCTCACTGATACCAAGTTGTAGTCTAGTGTCGTGGTTTTCTGTATTTGTCTTGTGCTTATCAGGTGGCTTCGGTGATGGATTGGCTGACCTTTTTGCAGGTCTCTGCTAAACAGAACAGATGGTTACTGGTACCATTTAAATTGGAACTCTTCGCTTGCTGCTGAAGATGGGGACTGAGCACTTATGGAAGTATTCCCAGCTTTGTGATGTCGATTCTTAATTCAATTCAACATTCAACATTTATGAATCTCTTTCTTGGTCTTCCTCTCACCTTTCTCCCAGATGTTCTGCTGTAAAAAAGTCTCATATGCAGTTTGGTCTGGCTGCAATCTCACTAGATGGCTGAACCATTTCATTCTTTGTTTGTCAATATAATCCAGACACGGTCTTATTCCAACTTTCTCTCTAATGTTGATATTTGTAACCCTGTCTGTTCTTGTGTTGTTAGTAACCTTATTGCATTGATGAAAGAAACTGTTCAAGTTTCAACTGTTTTCACTGGATCGGTTACATAAAAATACAGTTCAACAAAAAACGAAACAAATGTGAAAAAGTTTTATAAGAAAAAAAAGGGTATGGTTCACCAGCTGTGTTAAAGTCAATAAAACTGACATTATATTTCATTCACAAATGTATGGCACACCATCCGTGTCACAATAACGCACACAAAGTTTTTAAAGCGAATTTAAATATGTGAATAAATATTTGAGCAAACAGTGCAGGATATGTATATATTTACATGAGCACATGTATTTAAATACACATAAAAAATTATTTATATATGTTCAGTCAATCAATCACTCAGTCAATCAATCAGGTGTGCTATCGACAATGAATAAAGCAACAGAAAATGTATGAATCAGCACTCATTTGCTTATCATGGTTTTATTAATCCAGTGAACTGTAACTTAAAAGCTTAATCTTCTTCTTCTTCATGTTCACCGGCTGTAAATTCCGGCAGAAAGTTCTGGCTGTTCATCCACTTCTGGACTGCAGTCCTGTTCCAGAACCTGTGTGTTGCATGTGCATCTGTTTGACAGATCTGACTAATTTGTATGCAGACTGTTGGTTCTTTGCCTCTCAGGCAAATGCACTCCATCTTTGAAGCTTAATGAAACAGAGCAGCAGAACAATGTGTACAAAACAACACAACACAAACTGATGTTTCGGCTGGGGTCTTTCTAAGCAAGAACTGAAACACAACAATAACAAAGGGGAGAGTACTCCAATCACCAAGGGGTCAGGTACGAAACTTTAAAAAAATTGATGTGGAATGAATAAAATTAAATAAAGGACGGCTCCACTTTGTTATTGTTGCACTCATGCCGAGAAAAGCCCCAGTCGAGACATTGATTTATTTTGTCTTGTTTTGTGCTTATTGTTCAGCTTACCAATTTCATGAGGCTTTTAGTCACAGTTCACTTGATGA